AAATAACGTGACTTGTATTCAGAACCAGGGAAATGACATGTTCACTTTGCCAACGTTATTCTTAACTTGCTACAAGCGTACATGTATGTGACAGGTTGGACAGGTCCAAAGGAAACCAGAAAATGCAGCAGCACAGGCTTTAAGACATTGACGTCATCTTGCCATCTTGAAAGCCACCAGTGAATTTTTGAGCAGGTGTGAAGGTGACCCCTCACAAAGGCACCTGTGACCTTCCATGTATCTGTTGTATATCAGAACAGACCATAAAACAAGCAGGAATGAACATCATTTTAACTCGTTAAGGATGTAATTTTTCTTCATTCACTGGTCGATCCTAAATTATCCACACACAAACACAGGCACTTCAGAATACAAGATGGTGCAGTTGCCAGACTAATTTTGGCAATGTGTATTCATCTTTTATAAACCCCAGTCTGAAAATCTCACAGCTTGTTTTTAATTCAAGGAAGCTGACACCACCATTTTACACATGAGATTTTAACAACAAAATAGCAGAAGTGTCATCCTACATTGTATGAAGACACTTATAAAGTGGTTTATCATTAAAAAGATGCTGATTACAAAATCCCATTTTAAAGTGATAACAGGCTGTTATGGCTGCTCCTTGGTATGACTTTCTTTTATGCAGCTCCACTAATCAGAGTGTGACATTTTTATGCACATTACAAAAAGAAGGGCCTCCTTCTTCCAGCGAGTGTAATCATACTCTGATTATTCCAGCACAATAAAGCATGCATCATAAGTTTGATGCACATCTTGCTTTAATTGGCAGTATGTTGATGAAGAATGTAGGAACGGCAGTTGAAAAACGGTGCATCTGCTGATGACAGGAGGGAGTCAGATGGGTTCTAGTTAAGTGCAGCCTAATTACCCGTTGAAAAGCCAGCATGTGCCTGGGAGACCCAGATTCAATTCTCTCCTCATATTTCTGACATTGTGTGAAGTATAAACTCAATCAACTCGTATGGATCAGAGTCTTTCTGACTGTTAACTACGGTAGATGATAAAGGAGGATGTTTGCTTTGAAGCTACTCTCTACTAGACTCCAATGGGTTGCTGGAAAATACTAGAAACTGGGCAAATAGACTGATTAAAAAAATCTTAGCATATTATTCAGCCTTTGTTGCCAATTTTTCTTTTGCGGTGGATTTATACGACATGAGGGAGGAGATTTTTGCAGTGTTGGAACTTGGAAGTTCACAGTTGAATCAATTCTGTAATACAATAGGAATCAAAAAACATTTATCATTAAAATCACCACGCACATTTCACGATATACAGTATTTTCCAGCAAACCAATTGAGTCCATGGTAGAAACTACTTTTAAGAAAGGTTTGTTTCCCTCATCTCTGGCTGATCAGTGTTTCTTTTTTTTTTTGCTTTCACGGCTGAGAAGGTCTGCATTATCGACCTGTCCTGATAGTCCATGAGTACGTGGGCGGGGAACTCTGCAAAGGTTTCCGTCCTGATGGGTGCAGGAGATTTATTGACCCATTTCCCGTGTCCATTCCCGCTGTTGATATTTGCGGAATGTGATATGTACAATGCAGTCAGTATTCCATACAGGCAGATGATACTATCTAAGGGAGACATAGAAATGTTTCTGAAAAGGTCATGCACACATTGAGGCGAGTTTTATGTAATGATCTATCAAAGTTTAAAATTTCAAGAGAACGAAAGAAAGAAACAGCAGAAAGATATATCTAAAGTAAGAAATCAACTTGGCCCAAACACAGTATTAAAGATGTATGGATTTCAAAGAAGATGGCTATCACCTTGTAGTTGGAGGTTCCAATAGGCTTTAACCAATATAAAGACCTGTGCAGGGGGAGGGGATGTAATGATATGTCATCACCACATGATTTTAACCATGACATTCATGTGTTAGAACATCACACTTCATGCTTTTTAACATCAATATTTTGGAAATTTAGAATCGCACTGGCATATTGTACCAAGGCACAGTATTGTCTGTAAGTCAATTTAAGGTGATGGGATTGTCCTTAATTGAAAAGTGTTTTGAAGAGATAGAACAACATGTTCTTTTCTGTATCACTAGTACCAGTAGAAATGGTTTTACACAAAACAAACTGATTGCCTGTTAAGGTAAAACTGATGTCTGCTATGTGATGTCAAGCGTGCAGCCCTGCAGAGGTGGCACCAGGAGGCAGGAGTGATTTACATAGATATTGGCTAAATTTTAGGGTAATGACGACAGCCATATGTTCCCTCTGGTCCCATTGCCAGATGGGTTACTGCCTATGCAAATGTCATCAGCCCACATGCAACAAATAAGGGCAACATTAAAGGCCCAGTGATGATCATTGAAGTATCCAATAAAGTACCTATACTGTGAATTACACTATAAATGCCTGGGTTGTTGAGACTTGGGAAGCTACAGATTTCACAGGTCTGGACTGGCAAACACATTCAAAATGTAAGCCGAGTTTCTACATACAAATTGCTTGAAGAACAAAAAATCTGAGACTTTAGAAGTATGCGTTTCTCTGCTTCCCAAATTCCCCCATGTCAACTTATAATTCATTCTGGCTCTGGCCACATTCTGAGACATTTGGATTCCTGTTATGTTACCAGTCAATCTTCCCCACCCATGTGCTGTCAACCTACTGGGTATGGAATACACAAACCCACAGTTCAGCTCCCCAAACAATACCGGTACTTCCATACCTGGAAGTAAAATATGGTAAATGCAATGTCAACCTTTCTCTTGCTGTTGTCAACATGTCTTCCTCTGTTTCCCCCAGTCGAAGCAGTCGATGCCTAGACGAGGAGAGTACAACGTGTACAGCACTTTCCAGAGCCACGAACCAGAGTTCGACTACCTGAAGAGCTTAGAAATAGAAGAGAAAATCAACAAAATTAGATGGTTACCTCGACAGAATGCTGCGTATAGCCTTCTATCTACTAATGGTAGGTTATATGTACTCTATATATTTTTCTCATTACACCCTGTGACATCACCACCCATGCATGCTAATTGGTTGGCATGTAAAATCCTGTGCGCGTTTTATGGGACAGATTTTTTTATAAACGTGGCAAAATATTATTGAAACACACCCACTGCAAAACATCATTGGTCATCATTGTAACAAAATTCACATGATCAAACAACATTATGAAAAATATCAGGTGCTTTCAGTGCCAACATGGAAGCATTCGTCAGGATGAAATTATCGCTAAATTCGGCTTAAAAGTTCCTGGATGTAATGGTCAATCATTTATTCCAAACCTTGTGATGTCTTCAAATGAAATATCCTTAACTACTGTCCTACTGTCTCCTAAAAATGATAGATATCAAAGAATTTAGCTGCTATGAACATGTGCACCAGCACCATGGTGACATTATTAGCTATCTCGATGAAAAAAGATAAAATGCTATATTTGTGCACAAAGGTAAGATTGCTTTCCAACAAGCTTTTGGTCAGGTTTCGAGTCATTTCAACTTGAGAAGGGTCGGAGAACTGACCAAAAGCTTGTTGATAAGTACTTTACTTTTGTGTATGGGTAGAGCATTTTAAGTCTTTGAAACAGTTTCACTGACTTGGTAAGTCTGCACATGTACGAGAGTAATCCCTCGTGTTATGAGTTACCAGCAGGGCCTATGCAAGAGAAGCCAGTCTCCTGGGCATTCATCTTCTTTCCATTCTCAGCTACTAAGAAATTTACAGCACGGACTACCGGAGGGTTCAGGGTTGTGTGGAAGTTAATAAATCTGCTCGACAAGGGGAGGTTATGTGGGCGGGAAAGGACAAGGGAGAATACATTATATGTCTGTGGAGAGTTTTGGGTGTGAATCACATAGCTAAATTATTGATAACTGTATCAGATGTTATCGTGGATTGGATATACTAAAAATTTGTTGCACTTCCACTTGTACATTCTAATTTAGTAACTAGCTTGCTTTTATCATACAGAAGCTTTCAGGAGCTTTTCCATCAGTCATGTCCATGGGTTTGAGGGCTGAAAACTGTGTTTAATGCCTGTTATTGTCAATAGGGGATTCATCACCTGCTTCTGGGGGATTTTAGCTCCTCTTGTTCACAGCACGATCAATTGCTGGGGTCCTGGCCAAATTGCAGGGCCAATTCTGCCTCATTACTACCATCTATTTCTGGCAAGTCGAGAATTCCTTGGGGAAACATCACTGTAAAAGTGTAATGGCCATTGCCTCATGTTGGTATGCAGCACTGTTGGCAACAGATGGCATACAAGCTGCTGTAATACATGAACATAGAACTACAATGTAGTAGTAGTATCACGTGTCTGTCTAATATATGCATTATTTAACACATGTGAGTAGCCAAATTTGACACAATCACTATCATATGACCAGCATCTAAACGAGTTTGAAAATTTGTTGGTTAATCTGACCCCATGAATGACATTCATGCCATGTGACAAACAAGTCATGGAAGCCTTGAAAGGTAGTTGATTGGTATGTATGATATGAGACATTGATGAGAAGTCTCATTGATTTTTCCGCTATCTCAGAAGATATGTCTAAAGCTTTTATTGATTTCAATAGACTTGGGACTAAAGGTCACTAGAATAGATTTCTACTCATCTCTCTACAGTTGTTGTGATGGTGGCATTTTGCATAATACCAGCCCAAAAGGACTTACTTTGTAATTTGAGCTCTGCAGTCAATTACATGTGTTCCAGTTTCATGATCAACCAATCTACTGGTACCAAATTATTGGGTAGCTACAGCAGTGCACTCAATTAATATCGAAATGTACCATATAATGTCCTGGAGTGAGTATACCAGTAAAATATTTTTTTCTTTACAGATAAAACTGTCAAATTGTGGAAAATCACAGAGCGAGACAAGCGCCCTGACGGCTTCAACCTGAAGGACGATGAGGGGCGGATAAAGAATCCAAACGACATCACGGCACTGCGGGTAGGTTCATTTTCTCCAGAGAGGTCCTTCTCTGGACACATAAACACCTGTCAGATGGGAAATTGTCTTGGTGCACCTCTGTGCCATCACCTGTTCTGTTTGTGATGGTCAGGGTCACTAGTCTAGTGTAATTTCATTGCTCAGCCTCTATGATAAGTACCTTTGCACAATTCACCCATGTGTATTGAGCATTTACTTTCTTCTTCTCTGGTTTTTGATCAACTAATACTAGTAATAGTGCAATGCGAAGACAACATAAAAATGAAGAAATTCTCTTTCTGCCTGTAAAATACCCATATATAATGTTAACTTTGATTTTGAAGTAATGAAAATTTCACACTGTTAACCGTAAAATCCCTGTGTTTCAGGTACCGTTCTTCAAGCCCACAGAGTTGATAGTAGAAGCCAGTCCCCGCCGGGTGTACGCCAATGCGCACACGTACCACATAAACTCCATATCTCTAAATAGTGACCATGAAACCTTCCTGTCTGGAGACGACCTCAGAATCAACCTCTGGCATCTAGAAATCACAGACCGAAGTTTTAGTATCCTTTCTCAGAAATGATGTGTG